AGAATTCAGTGTTTTAAATTCTACATCTGTTTTAAAAGAAAAAAAGTCCAGGTATATCTGGATTAATGGAAGCTCATGATTTTAAAAAAAATACTATTCAAACATTTTACTTGAGGAATCAATTGAAAGAAATGAGAATCTTTACCCTTTGAAAAGAAAACTTACTTGGAGAGACATGATAACCATAGTCAGGTGTTTGAAAGCTTGTGATGGGGAAAAGAATTAATCAAATGAGGACTTCCCTGGTGGCTCAATGGTAAAGAATCCTCCTGCCAATGCAGGATACAAGGGTTCCATCCCTGATCCGGGAAGATCCCACACGCCTCAGGGGACTAAGTCCGTGCACTGCAGCTGTGGAGCCTGGGAGCTGCAACTGTTGAAGCCCACGTGTTCCAGACCCAGTGCTCCACAAGAGAGACCCCTGCACCTAGAGTAGCCCCTACTCTCCACAGCTAACTACCACGCAGCAGTGAAGACCAAGCATGGACAAAAATAAGTAAATAAACAAACATTCAGAAAAGAATTAATTAAATGATAGTTAGCTTTAAAGCCATGCTTCTCCACTGCCATGTACATGATGTTCAAATGCAGGTTCTGAATTAGCAAGATTGGGAGTGGTGATGCAGTGTTTCTAACCAGTTTCTCAGTGATGCCGGTGCCGCTGGCCTAGGACCTCATTTTGAATAGCAAGACTTAACATGTAGAACTAAGAATAAATGAGAAGTTAGAGGAAGCCCCCCTACACTCAGATAAAAAAGTTACATGTCATTTCAAGCTGTCTGGTATAGAAATGTGTTCTGCCTTTTGAGTAAGTGAGTTTACCTTAAGTATTAAAAGAGACTAGGCTAGGAAACTATCAGTGGTATTAAAGGGGAAATTATTACATGGGATATATTGAATTAATGACTTCTTAGGGGTCTCTTCTAGTTGTAAAAGTCAATAAATATAATTTTTGAGCAAGAATATCTAAAGTAACTTTTTTATACATTTTCATATCTTCTCGAGTCTAAGTTGTTTTTATATGTAAAGAGACTGTCAGGAGAGGTTGAGTTAACCTTAGTATTTTTATAAAATGAAAGAATTCAGTTATATAAGCAATAGCTTTTGTAATGCCAGATCATGAGAATGAACACATTATTGCTCAGGTTGGTTGGATGATTTTTACACAAAATATTAGTTTGGTAGACATTTAATTATGGACAGTTTTCTTTTTAATGCAGTAAAGCTAAATATGTTGTGTTCAGATACATGTAAACTCTTACCTAATTGGGTCTCAAAGATCTTATGCAAAATTCAGTATTCTGAGCTGGTAGTGAAATAATTTTAAGCAATTAACTGATTTTAATCAATGTCTCCAATTAGAAAATGAAGTAATTAGACTAAATGTTCTCTAAAAATATTCACTTTTAGCTCTTAAATTTTTTATTCTTTTTGTTGTGCTTCTTCATAAATCTTGAAGTCATACCATCAGAAGCCACCAGATTCTAACCTCCTTTTAACTCAAGACTTGGTCTTACATTTTGCTGTCTAAGCTTACTTTCTCATGAAAGTAGGAATATCTGTTGAAAACTAAAATCCACCTCAAATTTGAGAGTTCTGTTGTATTATTTATCTACAGCAGTGGATAGAAGCTTGTTCTGATGCTTTTAACAGTTTCATTGCTTTTTTTCTTCTAATTGCATAGCTCTTATAAATAAATTCATTATTTTTGAATACTTACTCTGTGCTGTACTAATTGGTTCAGATTCTGTACAGTTCTGGAACTTGTCATCTACTTTTTTGTGAAACAGAAGACTGCTTGGTTAAACAGATAATACTAATAAGACCGTGTAGAAGTCCTGTGACAGGGATCTCTTCAAGGTGGTGTGGTAATGCATATAAGAGCACTGAACCTAGTAGAGTGTAGAGGAAAGGGACTTAGTTGGAGAAGATTGTTTGAGGAGACATTAGATGAACTGAGACACGAAGATTAAGTATGAGTTGGCTAAGTTGGGGGGAGGGAGGGTGGGCCAGGATAATAGCGGCAAGCATGAAACAACATGATAGACATGAGGATGTACTATTTCTGAAGTGTCAAATAAGGAAGGCAGTTAAAGTTTGAATGTACGCAGGCACTTATGCGAACACCGAAACCTCAGCTTTGTTCCCTCTTGTGAGAGGAGGCTCAGGTGGTTTGACATAAAACATTTGTTCTGGAAGCATTTCATGTTAGAAGGAATAAAACTAAAGGTCGGGACACAAATGAGCTAAAAGTAACCAGGTGAGACATAATCAAGGTGTAGACCAGGCCCACACATCCGCCACAGTCATGGAAGCAGAGCCCTTCAGCTTCACGCCCACCAGCCCGGTTCCTGCACCCCGACCCTCACCGCCGCCAGCCTGGGGGGTCCCTGTCCTCAAGGCTGTAGTTAATGGCAGAGTTTGTTATTTTCATGTTGCCAGTTGAGAATACTGAAGAGAAGTAGTAATTAATAAAACATTTCTATCTGAAATCCCTCATTAATTTTTTCATGCAGTGACTTTTTGTGCTTAATTTGGTTTTGACAGAATTAGTATCTAGAATTTTAGTACACTTAGCTCTTTATTGACTTTTTAATGAATTGTAGGCATTAGTTTTAGCTTTTTTTTAACATAAATTTTGAGATAAAGAGCACAGTCGTTCAGTTCAGTCCATCAGTCATGTCCGACTCTGCGACCCCATAGACTGCAGCACGCCAGGCCTCCCTGTCCATCACCAACTCCTGGAGTTTACTCAAACTCATGCCCATCAAGTCGGTGATGCCATCCAACCATCTCATCCTCTGTCGTCCCATCTCCTCCTGCCTTCAATCTTTCCCAGCATCAGGGTCTTTTCCAATGAGTCAACTCTTCGCATCAGGTGTCCAAAGTATTGGAGTTTCAGCATCAACATCAGTCCTTCCAATGAACACCCAGGACTGAGCTCCTATAGGATGGACTGGTTGGATCTCCTTGCAGTCCAAGGGACTCTCAAGAGTCTTCTCCAGCACCACAGTTCAAAAGCATCAATTCTTCTGTGCTCAGCTTTCTTTATAGTCCAACTCTCACATCCATACTTGACTACTGACTGGTCTGTTAGAAAACTGGCATGTAAACAAATACCCATGAAAGAAAAGAAGATACATTATGAAATACAAGGTGAAGATTCACTGAGTGAAATAGTTTTTTAAGAAGTTTTAAAATTATAGTGAAACTCTTTTGAAGGAAACTTTTTCAGGAGACTCAAAGGAAGAGTCTAAGTTACAGGGCAGGTTTGCTCTGATAAAAGCAATGCTGAAGAATACCATCTCTGGTTTCCTTACGTTGGACACGTTAAGTCAATAATTGATCACAATTTTAAAATAGGGATTTCCCAACCACTCTAAAAAGTTAACTCTACATACCAAAGAGAGCAGAAAGGTAGTCTTTTCTTACCTTTCAATTCCAGATTATTGGATTTTCTCTTAGATAGTTTTGTCTCCTGTCGTGATATTTTTCTTACCTTTATTATCATGGTCAAATGAAAAGTATTAAACGTTGAATACAGAAGAGAAATTAGGGGTTATATTGAACTTATCAGTGAACAAGTAAATAAAACTTTTTTAAAAGACTTTTATTTATAGTATAGACTCTTTGGTACTTATGCTTTATTTGAATTTAATTGATTTGTTTATAAATCATACATTGATAATATATAAGAAATCGCTAAGCAGGCCATGGCACATATAGACAATCAAGTGTAAAGTTCTCTAGTCAGTGATTCTCAGGAAGGGGTAAGAGCTTGACTTTCTAGACAGGAAAAAAGGATCAGAATTTTTGATAAAGCAGTTGTTTTCTCAAACACTACTCTGACATTCTCGTCTGCCCCTTTTCTTGGATAAGAAAAAAAGCTTGAGAGGATTAACTTTCTTCCTCCATCAACTGAGTCCTATTGAAACAGAAGAAATGTATTGAACCCCTTAAAAAAGTGTTTTGTAAATTACAATTGTGATGCCAGTCTTAAATTTCATTCTTATGCCATAGATTAAACAAAGTAGGATATAGAATATAGCCTTAGAATTATAGTGGAAAAAAAAATTAGAGAATCCGTTGGACTTCGTTTGAGTAGAACTCTTGTTGTGTAATCGCTAAGTCGTGTCCAACTGTTTGCAACCCCATGGACTATAGCCCCAGGCTCCTCTGTCCAGGGGATTTCCTAGGCAAGAATATTGGAATGGATTGTCATTTCCTTCTCCAGGGGATCTTTCTGACTGTCTCCTCTATTGCAGAGTTCTTTATTGCTGAGCCACTGGGGAAGCCCAGTCATACTTTAAGGATCCACAGCTTTAACACACACACAGAGCTGTCTCTCTCAGTCCCAAATTATTTTTTAGAAAGAGGAATGTTGTGTAACAAGGAAATTCAGTTTTTTAATAATATCATATTATTTCATTATTTTGAAATGTTTGGTAATTCATAAATGGAATGGTCAGAATTCTTTCTCTTGAACTCTCTAGAGAAAATATTTAAGTAAATTATTATAATAAACATAATTGCAAGAAAAATCTTTTTATTTGTAATTACTTTAGAATCATCTCCTGAAGAGGCAACAATGACATATAAATTAGAAATTGTATTTCTTCATAACAAGATAGTGACTTTTTTAGACTAGTTCAAATTCACATTTCTCTGAAAGTAATACTATGCCTGTTCACCATTTAAGTTGATCTTATACCATTATTCAGATTTATGTTTTATGTCATATAGACTATGTAACAAATTCAGAATCTCTATTTGTTCATAGGATCTTAGAAATAACCTAAAGTCTTTGTATCTTCTATCGATTTTATATTTGTATTTTGTTACTTGTGTGAAAACACATAAGCCATCTTGCTCATTTTCTTGCTTATCAGAAGAACCAACTTGCTTAAAACACCATAGCTTCGGAATAACTTTTGCTCTTGCTCTCTGCTGTCTTTTGTAAACTTATTTGTACTCCAGCTATTTTTTTTTTCCTTTGAAAGCCTTGCAGTGAGAGATTTTCTTTGTCTGGATGATCCACCAGGTCCATTTGATAGCTTAGAAGAAAGCAGGGTAAGTGCTGTATTATATATCACATGAAAAGAGGAACAAATAATACCATACAATAACTACATTGTTTCTTGAATGGAATAGCAAACAGCAAAATTATAATTTCAGACTGGTAGTTTTGCACAGAAAGCTTTTAATGTTTGAGTCAAAGCTTTCTTTCATTGAAGTACATGGACCTAATTCAGTGAAAAAAGTAAAATTTCATACATATCATATAGTCAGTGAAGCTCTAAAATTGAATCCTACATTTATTCTCTGTTTTTACCATTTCAGAAAGCAAAAAAAAATTACTTGGAAATTTATTTTACATTCAAAAGTAATATGTGTATGTTGAATTTTCTTCCATCCAAGTATCAAAGTAAGGAAACTACATTTTTTTAAATCAAATTTAAAAAACTAATCTCCAGAAGTTGAAGTTACTACCTTGTTATCAGTTCAGCTCAAGCTTGATGCTACTCAAATTACGCTAATTGACGTTTAAAGTGGCCTATTTCTTGAAGAAATTGGCTAGATTCAGAGATTTGATAATAATAGATTAGCTAGGATTTTATGCAAATTTTTCCCAAAATGTTTAATGACTTTTAAGTGGAACAGATTTAATTGTTAATGTTTTCAGTTAAACTGAGTCAGTTCTTTGTGTTAGAAGAATGCCATAGCTTTTTTTAAAAAACAGCTTTATTGAAGTAAAATTTTCATCCATAAAATTTGTTATTTGCTATTTCATTTAAATGTGCAATAACTTTTAGTAAATTTGTAGAACTGTGCCTTCATTAACATACTCCAATTTTAGAAATTTCCGCGACCTCAAAAAAAATTCTACAAGCCATTTTGCAGTCATTCCCCAGTGCCAGCCTCAGATGACTCCTGTTCCGCTCTCAGTCTCTGCGAATTTCTTTTCTAGCTATTTCATATAGGTAGAATCATATCGTGTGTATGTAGTACTTCCCCAGTGGCTCACTGGTAAAGAATCTGCTTGCAATGCAAGAGACACAGGTTTGATCCCTGAATGGGGAAGATCCCCTGGAGGAGGGCATAGCAGCCCATTCCAGTATTCTTGCTTGGAGAATCCCATGGACAGAGGAGCCTGGCAGCCACAGTCTACAAGGTTGCAAAGAATTGGACACTACTGAAGCAACTTAGCACACACGTGTGTATATAAACATGTGCCAGTCCAGTCCCTCAGGCGTGTCCGACTGCAACCCCCTGGACTGCAGCACGCCAGGCCTCCCTGTCCATCACCAACTCGTGTGCGTGTAAAATGTATATGTGTCTATATAAATACATAGTACCATATGTACAATATGCATAGCCTATTAAAAAACAGATGATTAAATCTAACATCATGTTTTTGAGCATCACCCATGTTACATGTGCTAATGATGTGCTCAGTCTCTCAGTCATGTCCCAACCCTTCGAGACCCCATGGACTGTAGCCCACCAGGTTCCTCTGTCCATGGGAATTTTCAGGCAGAAATACTGGAGCAGGTAGCCATTTTCTACTCCAGGGATCTTCCCAACCCAGGGATTGAACCCGGGTCTCTTGCATCTCCTGCATTGGCAGGCAAGTTCTTTACCGCTAGTACCACCTGGGAAGCCCATCCATGTAACAGTCTCAGTATTTCATTACTTTTGGTTACTGAATGGTTTTCCATTGTATACATATACCACCTTTTGTTTATCCAGTCACCAGCTGAGGAATATTTGGATTATTTCCAGCTTTCTACTGTTATAAATAATGCAGCTTTGAACAATTCAAGAAGATTTTATGTGGACATATGTTTTCTTTTCTCTTAAGTTGGTTCCTGAGAGTAGAATATCCGGTTATATGGCAAATTATGTTTGCCATATAACTGAACATTTATGTTAACTTTTTTTAAAAAGCAGAATTTTCTCAAGTGGCTATATCATTTTATGTTCCCACTTGTCATGTATGAGAGTTCCAGTTTCTCCAGATTCTCACAGGCATTAGATATTATCTGTCTTTTGGATTATAGCCTTTCTTGTAGATATGTCATGGTATTTCATTAAACTTTTAATTTTATTTCCATAATGATTTTCATGTTAATTGCTTTTTCATGTGCTTTTTATGCCATTTGTATGTTTTCCTTGATGAAGCTTTTTGCTTATTTTTTTAGTTGGATTGTTTGTCTTACTGAGTTATGAGAATTCTTTAAATACAAGTCCTTTATCAAATATGTGTTTTGCATATATTTTCTCATAGTCTGTATGTCTCTTTTTATCTTCTTAATGGTATATTTTGAAGTCCTAATGTTTTTAATTATTAAATTCATTTTATCACTTTTCTATTTTGGCTTATGCTTTTGGTATTGTATCACAAGAACTCTGCCTAACATATGACCACAAGTATTTTCTCCTAATTTTTTTTCTAGAAGCTTTATAGTTTTAACTCTTACATCCATCCTGAGCTAATTTTGTATAAGGTGTGGTGAAGTAATGATCTTGAGTTTCTATAAATATTTAATTGTCAGTGCTCTGTGTTGAGTTATATTGGCACCTTTATCAAAAGTCAAGTGAATGTAAAGAACAGGGGTTCACTTCTGGACTCACTTCTTTCATTGATCTTATGCTGCCAGTACTGCACAGTAGAAATGAGTAAATGACAAACACATATGAGATGTTAGGGAGGAGGAGAAGAGGGAAGTGGAAAAGACTGGGTTGCCTGGGTCGCAGAAAGCAGCGAAATGCCATGATCTAAGAGGCCTGCCTGGTGGATTTGGTGATTACGGATTAGGAGGTAGAGCAGATGTTCCCTTGGGAGTGCATTCTAACCTACTGTTGGTCCGTCCAATTGAAGAGGACCAATAGGCATATGAATGACAACTATGTACTCAGGAAAGGTCTGGGCTGGAGATTAGTTGATAGCAAATAGCATAGGCTATAGTTGAAGTGATAACAGTAATTGCCCAAGGACATCATATAGAGCAAGAGAATATATAATCAAAGACAAAACTGTGAATGCCCATGTGTAAAGAACAAGTAAAAATCTCACTGTAAAGTTAGGGGAACGACAGGGTTTCACAGATGCCAATAAATTTTTTTTTTTTTTTTTTACTTTTTAAGTGTAGTGACTTGCTGTGTAGTTGAGAAAAGCAGCGTTTTGGATTTGACAGAAGTCATTATTAGCATTTGCCTGGGCACAGTTAATATAGAAAAAAGAGTAAAACTATTAGTGAACTTAGCCATGGATAGGGATGGGAGGGAGGGGGTAAATTTGAATGATAAAAAGTTTTTCTGTGGAAATCTTTTTTTATTTTGAAAAGAAGAAAATGAGTTAGTAGCCAGAGACTCGTATCAGAAGAGTGGTGAAAATGGCTATTTTTCAGTGAAGAGATTTTTAGAATTTGCTTAATCAGTTTCAGTCAAGTTGATTAAATAAACTTAAGAGCCAAAAGAGAGGAGCAAATTGAAAATTTAAGAGAGTGTATGGGACAGGACAGACTTCCAGAGGAGATGGGGCTTCACTTGAAAAGGCACATTTTCCTGAGGACAGGAACGGTATACAAATGTAGTGAGGATTCTGGGAGGGGAGCGTTTTTTTCTGGGATGGGAATAAAGATCATCTGCTGGGCTTGGGATAACCAGGAGTAACATACTGTAGGGAGTTTGCAGGAATGAAGGATTCAAACAGTCACACAGGAGACAGGGGATGATAGATAACAAGAGGTCATTTAAAGAATTGATCAGCAATACTGAAAATCTCAGTGTGGTGAGTGACCCAGATTTTTTCATGACATCATTCTTCATGTCAGTATGATTTTAATTTTTATTTCAGTAGTTTAACTTCCTGGTATAAAGGGTAAAATAGCCTTGCATGAATAGAGTGAAAAGAGAAGCAAGGGAAAATAATATTGAGGGTACTATGAAGGAAATTCTGATTATCAGCTATGTCTTCTGAGCTAACACAAATGGAGTCAATAACCACAGTTGGTTTCTGTTTTGTTTTTTCAGTATAATCGTCTCAGACTGGGCAAAAGCAGACGGAGGAGAATAGAAACCAAAACAGTGGTTATTAGTAATTTTTTCCCAGTTGTACACTGGAGACATATCACGTATGAATTTCTGGCACCCTGACTTACTATTTAATAATTCTCAAGAAAAGGGACTTGTATTTATTTATGATTTCCCCAGTAAGTGAGATCTAAGGTAGCAGAGACCTAAAAAGATGAGAGTGGAGAACAAATCACCTGGGTTGTATCCATATTGTTTTGATTATCGGTGTTCATGAACTCTTCAGTTATACTCTAGAGAGTGTTCTGCATAAGTAGCTAATGCTATTCTGTTTCTGCATGTGGTTTTTATTTGCTGTTTGTTTTTAAGGCTTTCTGTGAAACTTTAGAAGAGACAAACTACCGTTTTCAAAAAGAACTACTTGAAAAACAAAAAGAGTTGGAATCACTGAAGAAGCTGCTCAGTGAGAAGCAGCTTCTTATAGACGCTCTAGAAAACAGAGTCAGGTATGTGCTGTGGGCTGCACTTTCAGTCCAAGTTCAGCTCAGTACTCTGTACTAAATACTTTCTGTCCATTAATATAACAGGAAATTTGTGACTCCAGAAGTCTTAGACTCATGGTGTACATCCTCACAGATGGGGAGAATTGTTGTCTGATTATTTATTTAGAAGGCTGAAGATTTGAAGGATAGGAAATACCAGGAAAATAAAGCTGTAGTTGTTCACCAAGGCAAACATTATTTATTTTAACCTAATTAAATGATATGTTTGTTTCGAGTCATTTATACCAACTTTTCACATATTGATACTTCTAGTTTGCCTTCTTGTCAGCATATATCAAATTGATGTTAAAATCATTTTAAATTAATCATAAGTACTGATTTCACTGTTGACACTTAGAGTCAGCAGTTTATTAAGTATATGACTCCACTTAGAGCAGCTAAAAGCTGCTAAAACTACATGCATCAACAACAATAAATATATACCTATTTTATTCATAGAAAACAACTTATTACTGTACTTTACTGCTAGGACACTATCTTTGAAACCTGAAGAATCCCTGCTCACATCAGGAACAGAAGCTAGACAGATCCTGAAGGTGGAGCCCTCTGCGCTTGAGGTTGATCAAGGTGTCCTGGATGAAGAATCTAGGTATATAATGTTTGGTTTACTGTGGCCTAATCATCTGAGTAATTGGCGGGAAATAGTCATGCTCTATGGAGTATGTTTTTATGAATTCAGTGTCATTGTATCAAGAATCTGATGAGCAAACACAGGGAAACTCTACATATTCTAGACTGTCCCTAAACGTGAGTCTTTGGCGTCCAGGCTCTACATTTTATTACTCATTCTGAAGACACGTCTGAATCAACGGGGGTGACTCAGTTAATTCACCAAGTTTGTAACCTTGACAAATCACTTTAATCTCTCTCAGCGTCAGTCTTCTCCATGCAAAAAGTGGGACACTGTAACAGCATCTACCCTGTCTACATAATAGGAGTGATGGATAGATAGTATATTTAAACACACATAGAATTTTTATTGCATGTAAGTCCAAGGTCATCATTAATACTTCAGTGACAGTCATTAAGCTATAACTATGAGAACAAATTTTATGTTGGTAAAGGTCATTACAAACTAGATTTTTATTGAAAAACAGTAGTTCAGAAAGCTAAAAGAGTTAAAAATCATCCCCAAAGGTGTTATCTGGCAATGATAACTTTATTAAATTTCTGATTGAATATTTATATATTCTTTTTTATTGAGTACTTTTCCATTAAATATTCTTTACATGAGCTAAAAAAAATAATAAGGTAATAGGTGAAGTAATGTGCATCTTGTCTCTTCATTGTGTTTCTCTTTTTCTGCAGAGCTGATAATAAGCAATACTCAAGTTTTAGTGAACCTAAAAATTCCATATCAGACATAGAAGTAGCAGAAGTGGCATATAATGCAGAAGACTAATGCAACTCCAGCGGTTCCTTCCATTTTTACGTTCCTGTGAATTTAGAATATAGTGACAAATATTTAAAAAGAAAAAAAAGAGACTGAATCATCGACGTTAAACAGCCAGATTGCACATGTATAAAGTTTACATAAAGGAAAATTTAAGTTATTGGTGTAGGAAATATATTCACTGTTGCTTTAAATTGTCTTTTAGACAAACTTTGTATTTAATACACTAAAAAAAATCTAGCTAAGACTTCTGTCATCAAGGCCCACATTCTTAAATACCGTACATAAATTATTTTGGTACTTTGCCAATATATTGATCCAGACTAACATGGGTGAGCACACTTTGTGTGTATGTGTTTAAATCACCAGTTGTATTAGTTAAGTGGACATAAATTGCATGTTGCTATCTGTTGAATATATACTTCCTTGTGTCTCTGACCTGATATATTTTTATTAATGGTTTATTTAAATGAGTGGTAAAGATGAGTTTTAAATAATGACATGTTTATTATCTCTAAATGAAAGTTGCTTATTTGGAATGTTACTATTTACAAGAAGAAGAAAACTTTCTAATACCAAAGCAAAACTCTGAAAGAGCTGTAAACATACTAAAGTGATAAAATAGCTTTGATTTGAAAAGCAAATTCATTAATATCCAAATACTATAATAAGTGTACCAATGTATTATATGTTACACTTATTTATTTTCCATGTAATCTTTATCTTAAACCTCTACCTATAAAATTAATGGGTTTGCCTTTTTCAGAACACTACCTCTTTTAGCTAATCAGGGCATGCTCTTTTGAAAACACAGATTCTAAGCAAATAGGCAGTTATACAGAAAAATAAAAGAGAAAAAGCCATATATCCTGCAGAGTTCCTATATCAACTCCTGGCTTTGCATTTTTATTTCTGTATATGTAAACATGTTGCTATAATGTATTGATGCTGATTTTCTTCTTAATATATTTAGCTAAGTGATGCACTTTATGATAATTAAACTCCTTTGTGCCAAGTTTAATTGGTGAATTTCTTTAGTAACTGGAGTTAGGAAAAAGAATTATATAGTGCCTTCACTACTTCACCTTTTACAAAAGTCTCCTAGAGTCCTGTGAGTCTGCTTTATGAAAAAGATGTTTATTTCAGCTTTGCATATAGTTATTGAAAGTGCCTTGTTTCGTTTTATAGTATGAAGTTACTCATTTTATTTTTTATTTCTACTGTGTTGCATATTGCTGTTAATAAGCATGGTAATCATTCTAGCATTTTGAAATTCCAGTTGGTTTATTGAACTGCATATGCTTTCTAAAAACTGAAGGAAACTTACTGGGGAATTAGAATAACAATCTCCATTTTTTCCCTCTTCTAAAATTTATCAGTGTCTTGATATACAGCCTATTAAGATGTAATTGTTTAAAATTCATCTGACATAGAAAAACAGATACAATGGCTGTTGTTAGTCTTTGACCTAAAAAGCAAACTGCTTTTTACCAAAGTACCAAAACTTTTTTAAAGTTTTCATCAAAATGGACAGGTATGCTTTATCTCAGAATATTTTCAACAAATTGTATTAGAAATATCTTTGCTATCCTGGGAAACAGAGAGTATAATAAAATGATCTACTTGTTCATTTCAAAATGTTTAAAAAGGCTTAAAGAGAACAATCATTTTAATTAATATCGCTTTTAGTCTAATAAAACATGATAATAAATTCCAGGTATTATAGTGCTACATATATGTCTGTTTTAAAGTGAACCATACACTTTCAGAATCTGGCCTTTCAAAAGATTGTATTTAAAACTTAAATGGGTGAAGAAAAACTCTTGTTAATTAGAGAAATCACTATTATTTATATATATTTAGAATTTAATTTTTTTACTTATATAATGCATTTTTCCCAGTATTATATTCATTTAATAAATTATTTTTTCAGTAAATAGTAGCTGTCTTGTCAGATCATGAATGCCATTTTTCCCCTCCAGTTTCTGTGTTCTTCTTGTTGTCCCTTACAATTATTGTAAACTGAATTGTAGTGGACTGTAGTGACTAACCCAACAGGTATTTGCATTCCTCTTCTTCTCCAAAATAAGAATTGGGGAAGCTTGTTTTCTCAGCTCCCCTTGCAGCCAGGTTTGAGCCTGTGACATATATATATAGTTAATGACACAAGTGGACATTTTCTGGTTAGCTGCATCTGCTGCATTTCACAGATGGGGACTGAGTCTGTGATTTTCTTTTTAAGTTTATACTTTATATTACTGATCATTTTAAGTCTCTGAATAGGTGCAATGCACTTCAAATGTAACCAATATTAATAAAAAATTTGAACATAACTGAAAGAGAAAACATTCTGTGAATAGTTTTTTAACCTTTTGAAAATTAAGTCTATGTATAAGAAATACAACCATAAAATTCAGCATTTAGAATGTGTTCTATCTACTAAACTTAGATTAGCCATTTAAAGCACATGTATTTAGAAAATCATGGTTGATCAACAAATGTTTATTTAAAGGAAGAAAACATGGTCCTGAGTTAAATCATGTAGTTTACTGCACATGCCTGTGAGATTAGAAGGGAACAGTGGCCTTAGGTCTAAGGATAATTAGTCTGGTTTTTAAATGGGTTTTTAATTACTTCCATTGATATTAAAACAAGTTTGTATTCCCAACTAGTAAAGAAAGGAATCTAAATTTTCTGGGAGATTTTCAAAGAGCTATGTATTTGGTCCACATTTTGATTCTTCATAGAAGTAGCTTTGTTCCGTTGCTGTTTGTTTCTATGCTGTTGGCTTGTACTGGCAAAAATGGTCATCAAAACTTCTAATTTCAGTACATGTGTGTTTAAAACTGATGTCTTCTCTGTCACATTGTGTACCCTTTATGAGAACTCACGGGAGAAAATTCTCTTAGGTCTCAGTTTCAGTAAACCTGTGCTTCTCCTGAACAAGTGATTTTTTTTTATCTTAAAGACTGTATTACGTCTTGTTTTCTGGGCAGCTCTAAGCCAAATTGTGGTTCACCTATAGCTACTGTATAGAACCTTGTGAGTTATGCTTTTGTATAGTAAATATGATGTTGTTTTCCTCTCATATTCTCTTAACTCCAATTTTCTTCACTATTTAACTTATTCAATTAGAGCAGATGTATTTTTGTTCCAGTAAAGTCTCAGATCTGAATATTTTAGACTACGTTAGATAAGAACTTGCCATAGCCTGCACTGAAACAATTACTGCACCCTTAAGTGATGCCAGTAACTATACAGATTACTTTAAAAGGTGCCTTTAAGTAAAATCAGTAAACACGAGTGCAGATTTAGAAATGCTGTCTATTGGTAGCTATTGGTAGCTTCTTGGCCAGAGCACAATATTAGTAAACTCAAGTTACGATTTTAACCGTTGCCTCAAATTAGAGCAGATGCTACTTGCCATTCTGATATTTATCACTGACAGAAAAGTGATAAATATCAGAAAGTGACAAAAGTGATCTTTTCCATAAGATGTTACAGAAAAACCTGAACGAAATTTTTGGCCAACCCAATAGAACAGTGTTCTGTTATCTCCAGATAAAACAAATAATTAAAAATACAGCCAATGTATACTCAATAGATAATAGGTAGCATTTTAGATACAGGGAAGATTAGGTATAGACTTCACATGTCCTAGTGTAATATTTGCAACCCAGTTAATTGTACTCAGAGTTACTAATGTTAGTACCTGAAATCCTTTGCTGCAGTGTGAAATACAAAACCCATCTTGGGGTGATTAAGCTCATGAGCAGAGAAGTCAAGAATGACCGGATCCGCCAGTCTAGTTTTCCAGTTCCCTATATAACAAACGTGTAACGACTAACCCAACAGGTATTTCTGTTTCTCTTCTTCGCCACCTCCAAAATAAGAATTGGAGAAACTTGTCTCAGCTCCCCTTGCAGCTCGGTTTGAGCCTGTGACACATACAGCCAGTGACACACATGGGCATTTGCTGGTAGCTTCTGGGAGATGCCTCGCTTTTCTTGTAAGAAGGTAAACGTGTTACCGACCTCGCCTTTCCAGCTTCCTTTGACCTCAGGTGCTATCCAGAGGTATCACAAAAACCACGTTGCAAACGAGGTGTGTGACAAGTGTGGGGGAAGAGGAAGAGAATCAGAGACTCCAGTAACTTGTCAGTCTACCCCAAGTTGTGGCTTTTTGTTAATTACACCAAGATAAAAGTTATCTTAAATTTGGATTGTAGGTTGTAAGCTTCAGGAGAAAATAAGAAGCCTTCCTGTGATGATACTGTATATCACCAAAGGAAAAAAGGAGAAAAAAGTTTTGAAAGCTAGAGGGAAGATAGGAAATCTATTAGACCTATCAAAGGTCACTTTACATTTGATGCTCCTTTTGACAAATATGAATGAAAAGATGTTATTCTATGTATAGATATTAGTCTGGTCAGGTAACTAAAACAGCACCACAGACTGGATGGCTGAAACAATGAATGTACAGTGGAGGCTGGGCACCAAGATCTAGGGGCCAGCAGGGTTGGTGTCTGATGAAGATTGTCCCTGGGGTTGCAGTCAGCGGCTTTCTCATTGCGGCCTCAGGTGGCCCTTCCTTAGGGTGTGTCTCAGAAGTACAGTAGTCCTGTTGGATCAGGGCCCTACCCTTGTGACCTCGTTTAACCTTAATCACTCCCTTGTGAGTATGCATGCATGTGTGTGCTCAGTCATGTCTGACTCTGCAAACCCCTGGACTATAACCCACCAGGCTCCTCTGTCCATGGGATTTCCCAGGCAAGAATACTGGAGTGCGTTGCCGCTTTCTGCTCCAGGGGATCTTCCCAATCCAGGGATCGAGCCCACAGCTCCTGCATTGCAGGTGGATTCTTTGCTACTGAGCCACTTCACAAGCCAGAGGCTCCATTTACAAACACAGCCAACACTCGGGAGGTAGGACTTCAATATATCAATCTGGGGAGAACATGAACATTCAGTCCCTAACAGTATGGAATGAATGTGACATCATTAAATGTC